GTTTTTTTTTTTTTTTTTTTTTTGTAGATTAAAAAAAATTCAGACATTTTTCTTTGACACATACACACGCAAACCCATTTCACCTCAAATGGGCTAACTTGTAATGAATAGTAACCACATTTGAGTAAAGGCTCTAGCTTTCTCATGCCCCAGATACTAAAAATACACCAAAATCCAAACAATTTCGTATCTTTTCTGTGCTGCATTTTCTCAGCATCCAAACAAAGATCTACAATGACGACCTTCACTTCACACACAAACCAAATAAGTACATACGCATACACATATATGCAAACAACAGATTCAAAAACCTGGGTATTCATAAAAAAGCAGCAAAATCAAGCCAAATGCACATAGAAGCATAACCAGAAACAGATCAAACGAAAACGGCACATTTCATGCATTCACAAGCATAGGCATTTGAAGCAGATCGAGAGGCAGAAACTGGAAGAGAAGGTGGCAAGCGTGGTAATTTACTCACGGTTTTAGTCCGAAGTTTGAAGAAGATGTAGAGGATTTCACTGTGTGTCAGTGAGCCTCTTCGCCTCTGTGTGCACGGGCCTTGTCTCGCTCGCCTTGTCGAGCTGTTATGTTTTCAAGCGCAGTGAATTTTCTGTTGCTTTCTTATATATGCGCACTGCCTCGTCGGCACTAGCGCCGTTTCTTAACGGCCTTCACCTTCTTCATTAATCATTATCTTGAAATAAATTAATGAATTCTAATTTTTCACTTTTTGCACAAAAAAAAAATTAACGAGATAGAAGGATAAATAATATTTTAATATGTTAATTATTAAAGTAATTTTTCAATCTATACTTTTTCTAAAATATAGCTTCACTAGTCTAGTAAAACACTTGTTTTCCTACTCATAAATTCCGAGTTCAATTTTCGTCTCTCTTTTCAACTTTAGACCTCCTACATACGAAACATAAAAATATAACATTACTACACCTTAGAATACATTGGCCAATTAATAGTTCTATGTAATTTAGTGGTAATGAGGTGTTTTTTCATTAAAAAAAGAATAAGAGTGGTAAAGTACTATAATTTAGAAAGAAAGGGAGCTCCTTCTATTTTTCAAATTTATATACCTTGTTAGGAGAAAATCATTAAAGCATTATTTCTTTCTTTGACAGCATTAAAGCCTTCTTTTTAGATGCTTTGGTATTCCCAAAAATTAGCAAAAATAAAATAAACTAGATAGAGGCATCTATTTTTTTTAAGTGAAGGAGAATTGACCAACTACAAGCATTGCAAACTAACTAGCAACTTTGTTTAATTTATAAATGCATGATTTGGAAAATGTTGTACATTATTATTATTTTTTTCTTTGAAAGCAATGCTTAATTATATGATTTTATTTTTTAAATATATTTTTTTAACGGTAATTTGGCAAATTTGTTGGTGCTAAACGTGAGGGTTAGAGGCCTTGACAGAGTGGTTTGTCAAATTATGAAGAAGATGTTCATGTCTTAACCAAAAAGCAATGAAAGAGCAAACGTTCCATCTGTAATTATTGCATAGGTCCCCCTCCTTTGATTATTCCTGCTTAACCCTTTTGATAAAGCCCCAACACCCTCTAATTAATCTATCAATCCCTTTATTTTCTTTAAATGCACAAAATACCCATAATACCCATGATCATTCTCTTAAACTTCATTATTAACAGCTATGTCATTCGGGACATCTGCTAGGTGTTTTCCAATTTGATGTGTGATTGATTACTGATTTATTCATCTCATTAGAGGGGGGGAAAAAGGCAGGGCAGTGCAGCATCAACTAAAAATATACAGTATTTGTTCATTCCTTAACAGCTTTAAATTTGTAGGGTTATTAATTTTTGTGTGATACGGACAGTAGATGTTCTAAGTTTGATTCTCATTCCTTACTTCATTGTTGAGTTGCACGGTATATGATCGTACGATTCTTTTATCTTTCTCTCTTTCTTCTTTGCACTAGAATAGCATTAGTATAACCATCGGCCTAAAATAAGCTATTTCGAGACACCCAAATTAAGTTAACACCTTGGGATTTTTACAAATGCAATTACACATGTCTTCAACAATTTATGCATGCAACAATGCAAGACCTCCCTCAGCTAATTAATTTTTATCTATTCCAAAATAATAAGAAATGAAGATAGAGGATTATGACTGTTCAACCTCCCTCAGCTAATTAATTTTTATCAAATTAGAGAATCCTAAACATGCAGTGGGTGGGAGGAAAAGGGTCTAAACAATTGTGGGGTTAACCGAAAGTGAGGTTATAATTGATATTAGTGGGTAGTTGAATGGCAGATTAATTGAAGATAATGAAGATTATGGAGCAGATAAATGTGTAGTTAGTAATGGACAGGGTGAGCCGGTGGGTGGGTGTATTAAGCTTGTGAGCTGTGAGGCTCTATGACTTTTGTGGTGTAGTTGTTGGAGGTAGGAGAAAGGGTGCCATTTAAGGCATGTAATATTAAATAAATCATGTTCATGTAGGGACACATCCGTGATTGGGGCCCACATCCCCCATATCACGGCTTGAAATGCAACATTGAGCCATTGATCATGGGTCCCACATTGGACATTTTCACATGCCAACGGACATGATTGATTTTGTGTGTATTGTGCGAGTTCTCTTCTTCTTTGCTTTACTATGGATGGGTATCAGGAGAAACGGAACTTCCCCACGTCACTAACACATGAGAAATAAAAAGGCGATATTCTAAAATATTTTAATTATGAGGAGGGGGTTCGAATTCAGATGCAAGGTAGCATGCAGTGTGCATTCGCCAACTGCCTAACCCACATTTGCTAAGTTCTCCGATTCATTATTTTCTCTATTCTTATCACATGACTTCGGCATAATCGTTACCCATATAAAACCGTCGTAGTTAAGTTTTCCTCGTGCTTAGAGTCTCCTACCGAATGCACAATGCATTGTTAAATATAACAAGCAAAGCTCTCTTCGGTTGAAGATTAAATGAATAATCAAAAATTTCAAAACTTGATTGGGAGGATTCAAAGAGGCTCGTTCGTTTCTTTGATAATAAAAAAATGCTAGTTAGTAACAACCTTTGAGAATCATCTAGACTGCCCAGTCTTGTTGGGGATGATTGGGGTACAAGGAGACTTAATTTAAAATGGCCTCAGCCTTGAAGCTTGTGTTAGAGATTTTATTCGACGGAAAAATAAATACAAATTGGGCTAAGTTGGTCTACTGGCTACGTTGTGGTTTGAGGGTGAAACCGGACCAAACCGGACCGTGCCCACTCCTACTGGCTACGTGTGAAAAATCACGTTATATTTAATTGATGAATTTATGTTATTTGTTAGCATGAGTGTGGTTTGCCCTCAATGTTCTATTAATAGGTAGAATATTATTATTTATTATTTTAATATAGACTACTGTGTTTATATATTTGTTAATTTTTTTAGGACATTTCCTATTGAGAGGGGCAATAATATACTAAACTCACACATACTACATAAATGCTGAGACTCGAACCCAAAATCTTTCTTGGAGGGAGCATTAGGTCCAAACCACTACACTAGTGGATCCTTTGCTACGTATTTATTCCTTTAAAATAAAGTCACTGTGTTTTGCAATTTTAGGTGTTTTGAAAAATTTATACACATAGTTGAGTAAGAGTCAAGTGAAGTGAGCATGGCTTAGCAAACAAAAGGGAAAGGTTAGGGAGAAATGAGTCTACTAATTTATCAAATATGAGGTTTCTTGTAGGAATTAACTTTTTTTTCTTTTTGAGCGCAAGAGATATTAGAGAAAGAGGATTTGAACTCACGACTGAATGCTCTTAACCAATTAACCTACACATTACTTGCAACAAATTATTTCTCAAAAAGTAGATGTTTGGTGGAGAATGAGAAAATTAAAAAGGAAAAAAATTAGGGTGAACTACAAAAATTTACTATGGGCTACATAAACAAGCCCAAAAATAGGGCTTGGGCTTGATCGTTCAATTTCTTTTGGGTCAAACGAAATCAAACGGACCTACAATTTCATGTTCTCAATACAGATGGTAATGTTGCAATTCCAAGAAGCTCGCAAGGGCAAAATCGTCACTGATAATTAAGCAACTACCTCCACTGCGCTCTACTACTTGCCTAACCGTACCGTTAGAGCCTAACCGCAAGAACATCCCATGCAATCATACAGGACCACGTGTCTATTTCTCATTGGAACAGCATGCCCAGCCCGCCGATATAAACCCGTCCCGTCACGTCACACTCGACTCACACATTTCACAAAGCTTTCCATCAAAACTTTCCCGCCCTTTACAGAGAGAGACAGAGAGACAGAGAGACAGAGAGAGATTTCAATGGAGGCGAGTGTAGCTGTTGTTGCAGAGGAGCTGAAGGCCATGGAGATAGCGAACGACAAGAAGCCTGTTGTTGTTGGTGATGATGGTGGCGAGGCCAAGAACGCTGCTACTGCTGCTGAGTTTCAGAAGAAGACGAAGAAGATGAACAAGAACCGAATTCATGTTTCCAACTCCAAGCGACCTTTCCTCTTCTACTGCAATCTTGCCAAGGTATAATCTATATATTCATAGAAATGTGTATACGTTTTCTCTCGCTTTCTTGTCTCATGCGTGTTTGGTTGATGAGAAACCAGAGGGAAAGAAAATTAATGGATGACCGACAGGGTTTTAGTACGTCTTTGCAGTGTTTTGTCGAATCTTGATCTGATTAACTTGAAAATGTATCCATTATTCACAATTCGGAAGATTTATGGCGCTTTAGGATGTTCATTATCCCCTGAACTGAATCCATCCACCAGTTTACAATTCCAGTACATGAATTAATCTGAATTGCAATTTTGTCAATTTTCTGAGTGAATTCATTTGTGTTTGCCTCTTTGTAATGGAGCTTTCTTGAATGATTTATTCTTTGTTGCAGAGGTACATCAAGCAGTACAATTCTGTTGAGCTCTTCGCCTTGGGCATGGGTACAACTTCTTGAAACCA